CTGCGCGCCGGCCACCTCGGCCGCGGGCTCCGGGTCCTCGGGGCCCCGCAGGAACCACCACTGGATCTCCAGGTACACGGAGGCCGAGCCGCTCTGGAAGGCGCACGACATCTCCACATTCTGCCCCTCGGTCGCGGTCACGTTGCGCGGAAACTCAGTAAATTTTGCTGTAAAACAGAAAGGCGTCCTTTTAGCGTGTCCACACCGCCCTGGCCGCCTCTCTTCCCTTGAGAGATCGCTACATTTTTCTTGGCCTGAAAAAAAAAAAAAAAACACACCCAAAAACCGAGAACAAAACCCGCTCTGTGACATCCCGCCCCGCCCCCTCGCCGCCGCTCGCCCGCCTGATTTTTGGCATCCTGCCTGAACCACGTCGCCGTCCATCGGGTCTGATAAAGGAAAACCTAACGAGCTTGCCAATAACGCCCTCTGTTAGCCAGGCTGCTCCCCAGAAGCAACGCAAACCTCTTGTCAGACCGCAGTGCTCCCCCAAACGGACTGAGGTGCGTTTTAGACGCATCTGTCAAGTTGATGCGTGAGGACAGCCTCTGGCCCCCAAGTTTCTAAACCATCTGCGGTAACTGCGTGTCTCACGTCCCAGAGAACGGACCACGGTCACCTGTCGAGACGCACATTCCTGATTTATCGAACCATCAGCAACTGTGAATCTCAGGCCGCAGCCCCGAAACCAGCCTCGCACTTTCTAGGCTGTAAATGTTTCCTTCTGTCCACCTTCACCTTCACAGGGGTTCCCTCAAGCCATTGCATTGTAAACTGCCGCACGTCCTGGGGGGTCAGGCTCACCCCTGGACCTGGTTCAGATGAAAGAGTGTTGTGAAGTCACTAGAGAGATTCCCCCCCCATCTTCATCACCAGCCTCGACCCTGCTAGTTTGCAAGATTCGTGGAACCGTAGCCAAACTCACGAGGATGCCACGCTCCCTTTCTCCCCAAGGCATCCCTTGCACACGGCTGCTTTGGATGGTGGTTCTTTATCTTGTCTCAGGGACAGTTGGGAAGAGCGGATGGTTCCCTAAAAGTAGCGTTAGAGACACCTGGGGCTGGCAGTGGGCACAGACACAGCGCACACGCCCGGAGAGGGGGCCCAGGGGCTGCAGGGCTGGCGCAGGGGGAACGCACATCACCCCTCCCCCCAATTTTTAAGGAAAGACACCGTCAGCGCCCCTTTTCACGATTTCACGAAATCCCAAGTGACCTGCATTGCAATGGACCTGCATTTACACCCAAAGCGAACGGGGGACGCGAGGAAGGCTTCAGCCGGGAGAGGACTTTTCGCTGGCGCGGGAGGGAGGCGCGGCCTGCGCTCCTCGGGGCCGACGCGTCCTCGCGCGCGGGGCGAGCTCTGTTCGTGGTGCTGAAGCGGCGCCGCAGCCTGCGGGTCCTGACCGGCCGCGTTCCCGGGGCTGCCGCCCTGCTTGGGATGCCGGCCGTGCCTTTGAGCGCGGCCTCCGAGCAGGACGCCGTCCTTTGATACACACACATGCGGACGAAGTCACAGGGAACCCGAAAAAAGACACTTATCTAAACCCATCTGCCGGCAGGGAGCGGGAGGACTGGCCGCCGAGGGTCCCTGCTCGTTTGCGGTGATTAGCTGCGCGTGAGTGGTTCCCTTGTGCATGCACACGGAGGCACACACGCGCGCACACCCCTGCGTGTCTGCTCGCCGGGCCACCTCGCTCACCGTCAGGCACCAAAGAGACCTGCTCGCAAGTCCCGCTTGCCGACCACTGAATCAACTTTAAGGAAAAATGCCCAGCAGAGCCGGATTCCGCGGCCCCTCGCAGGAACCTCGCATCCGCCTGGACACGCGCGCGCGCACGGCCCCAGCACAGGCGCATCTGGCAGCGAGCACAGACTTACCTTGGGAAGCAAGCCCTTGCTGCACGTAGACCAGCGAGAAGACGAGTCCGACATACGCCCCAAAGATCCCCATCATTCCAAAAAATACAAGGGAGGAGCCGGGGGGGGGTCACATC